CCACCTATAGGATACTCTTTATAGCATTGGTAACATGTCTGCCAACTTATAGGACAATGGCGCGATATTTCGAATTTTTATCTCAGTTTTACGGTTTTCATTTGACTCACCCTCGTATTACACATTTTGAAAATATTAACTTGGCTGGTAAATAAATTAAACCTACCCCTTAAAATAATACATTTCTGATGATAGCTGTCTTCTGGGTTGTAGCACTGTGTAGTCTGTTAGAAGCTTACCATCATTTCAGAGGTCCTTGCTGCCTCCATCATCAGGGCAATGAGAAGATGGCAGTCTTCTGGGTAATGAGTGCCACTCTATGCCCAGATGATGGATATGGCATGGACCTTTGAAACACTGGTAAACTTCCACCAGACTACACAGCGCTACAACATAGAAGACAGTTATCTTCGGACTCACTGTAGTGAAAATCTAAAATCCTACTAATGCATTTCTGTTAGCCAAAGTGAAAAAATTTCCAATCTATTCCACAGCCTTGCATACATTATATGGCATGACTGGATGGTGTATTAATAATTTATTGGACACTGTTTGGCATAAAATAAAGAATGCCCTGAAATGTTGGTTCTAGTACTCTGAATATAAATAAATGGGATATTGTTAATAGGTATCATAGCAATATCACAGCAGAGTGCTTTAAAGATGAGAGAGGCAGGTACATTTGTAGCTGAGGGGACCTTTTAATGTAAATAATGCTCTGAAGCCCCAAGAAGTATAAACTAAAAAAACACATGAGCTATGTTGATACAAGTAACAGAATGGGCAAGAGGTCTAGCATAAGTTGCAGAACTTCAAGTGAACAAAAGGACTTTAATTTATTTGTCAAAAATTATTTTATAATACGCAAGCCATATGAAGTGAAATGACCCACTTGCGATTCAGGAAACAATTTGTTCATGATTTTTTCCTTGCATCAGAAGAAAGGGGATACAATGAGGTACACAAAAGTCCAGGTCTTCCCCAGTTGTCCCATTTTGGAGATAAAGCACACAAAACACTATGCAGTGTGTGTATACTGTTGTGAGGCCCATGGTATTAGTCTGTACATTTTTATATGTTAGAAACTGTACCAAGCAAAACTGACCCTCAAATGGTAGAAAAGTTGGTTTAACCTACTTTTGTTTGTGGGTGTCTGTACAGCAGGAACAAAGAATTCAATATTTTTCTGTCTGAGAGAAAAGAAAAAAGGTGAGTTTGGTTGTATGGATCAGGGCCCTGATCCATACAACCAAACTCACCTTTTTTCTTTTCTCTCAGACAGAAAAATATTGAATTCTTTGTTCCTGCTGTACAGACACCCACAAACAAAAGTAGGTTAAACCAACTTTTCTACCATTTGAGGGTCAGTTTTGCTTGGTACAGTTTCTAACATATAAAAATGTACAGACTAATACCATGGTGAAACGTTGGTTAACATCGACCAGACTACACAGCGCAATAACCCAGAAGACGGATATCTTCATACTCACCGCTGTGAGAACCTCAGGTCTTACACATTAATAATATCACAATTATTTTCAAAATATTAATCTAATGATAATGTAAAATATGTGCAATATTCCTTCCAATTATAAATAATCTTGTGGAGGTACTGCTTGAGTAATGGTACCAAATGGTAAAGTAAACTTTTCTGTGTAATGTGTATTTTACTCCATTGCTGAATGTCGTTTTTTAATAAAGATACACCGTTCTATCAAAACACATATGGAACGGCGTAATTGTGGGATTTAAATCAGGCCACCAGGAGATATTAGAATTTAAAAGCCTGGTACTTTAAAGCTGCTTTAATACCTTGGCCTTGTGATTGGTGTCTGCCTGGTGCTCAATTAGTAGAGTAGACATGTCAGTATGGCCTTCCTGAGAACTCAAGTGCAGGGGAGTGAAACTTGCTTTTGATTCTGCATTTGCCTTTGCACCATACTCTAGAAGTGTGGTAGCGATGTCCATCTGTAAGATAAGACAGTGATGCAATTTTAGGTTTATGCTAATCGAAAGCACTGGATTGCACATAACATCAATAAGATTTTACTTAAGACGTAAATTTAAATTATTCCTATGCCTAAGAACTATGCCATAAAAATGGACAGATAGACATAAAGTCCCAGCATTCTCGACCTCGGCAATACTCAGAGGTGAGTTGGACTGTCAGTTTTATGCTTCAGCAGCTTTACCATCAATGAAAAACTGAATAATTGAAAAGGAGGCTGAGTAGACAAAAGAGTTATTTTGAAAATAAACGACAAAGACAAAATTCCGAATGAACATGTTGAGAATCTTACTTAATTAGATTTAACCAGTCACTTTACATGTTATTGGGCATGTTACATAGTTAGATCTGTTTCATATCGTTAATACTGACATCAAAATCGATGTCCTTTGCCTACTTCCGTCGCATTCGACACCTTGCTGGTTGTGCAGCAATTCCTCGCTGAGAAAATCATTCCCGTCATCACCCAACCACCATGCTCTCCGGATCTTGCTCCGAGTGACTTCTGGCTGTTCCCTACTCTGAAAATGAGCCTCAAAGGGACGCGTTTCGCAATCATGGAGGACATCAAATCGAATGCGACAGCCGAACTCTGGAAGATTCCTAACGAAGCCTTCCGCCGGTGCTTCCAACGATGGCAGGATCGATGGAGCAAATGTGTGTGCGCGCAAGGGTCCTACTTTGAAGGTGATTAGGTAAGCGTTGCCATATGTCCTTCCATTACAGTGCTATACCACAATTCTGGGAACTTTCTGACTGCCCCTCGTATTCCACATCAAACAGTTAGAATGACTAACTTCTGGATGAATGTATGTATTATTTCTAGCAGTACTGTATACAATAATGTATTCTGTGCTGTGTGCCAAACTGGATAAGTACCTACAGTTCAGAAATTCCTCTTACGTCAATATCAGTATAAGTTCAATTGGAATTAAATTGTATTAAGGAAACTTTACATCTACGATACCCCTTTTTAATAATATTCTTAGAAGTCCTTACCACCTAATGGTTGAATGATAGGATATATTACTGTAATGATGATACTGTTTTTGAAGTGTCCCACACTTTTGACACCTATAGATATGTTGACCTTTATAAAGTTACGTGGGCTGCAGATTTGGGCAATGTGAGTACTTAACCTCAAACACAATTCACCTGATTCTTCCTTGCTGCTATGTGTAGTGGTGTGTGACCATTCTTTGCAGTGGCATGGGGAGAAGCACCCTTATCAAGCAGCAGAAGTGCCACATTTTGGTGGTCATAATGGCTGGCCACATGTAGAGGTGTGACCCCATTCTGTAACAATTACAATTTTCAATTAAGGAATTACAATATGGCTACATTATGTAGAAGTGAAGTAAAGCAGCTTTTAGCAAAATAATGAAATTAGATCCTTAAAAATGTGCAATGAATTAAGAAAACTGTAAATGACCTTAAATCTCAGTGTGTGCAGCATATCTTTTGTAAAACCTCTCTGATTGGCTATAAACCATCTCATCCATTAAGGTTTAAAATCACTCACAGAATCATTCAGATATCCCAAAAATCTATGGAGAAATGAGAAGTAAACTTTCTCTTTAAGTGAAAGTCTTCAGTTTTCCTCCAACTAGCCATTCTTTCGCAATAATTATATAAAAATACATGCCAGGGAATTTCATAATATTTATATTTTTGGGTATGGCTTTTGTTAAATTAAACAGGCGTTTAAATAAATGCACGGACCTATACGCTTCTCTGTCCTTGCAGAACAAAAATGTACACGAGTATTGTTATTGACTTTTCAATGTCAAGCAGCCTGTTAAACATAAAATAACATATCCAAAAGACCCTCTTCAGTTTCTTATAGAGACAGGAACAAAATTACAGACCTTTCCCTGAGCATCCACAGGAGAATCTCGCTGGAGTAGCAGCTTAGCTACCTTCATGTTGCCGTACTTGGCTGCAAGATGTAGTGGCGTGAAGCCCTTCTTCGTGGTAGCTGTCAGAGATGCCCCGTGTTCAAGAAGAACGGATGCCACCTGCAATAAAATACAATTAGTTGCAAGTTTGATATAAACAAATTATGCGCCTGGGGTGCAATGGGAGACTTGTTTTATCCAATTATATGTTATTAAAAACTGACAGTTCTATTTTAAAATGGGATGAAGGCTTTGAACTGTGTTCAAAACTGAAGTAAATGGATATCATTAAAACAATGTCACCAGCGCAGATCCGTGGCAGCACTTTAGCTATATACACACTTCAAAATTAAAACAAGGATCCTTGTAATTTAATCTTGTTAATGCTTATTCAATTCTTCAAGTACTTTAACAGTTTTATGAAATGTAAATTTTAACAATTTTCCTTGCTGTTAATGCATTCTAACATTCACAATGTTTTAACAGTCAACAAAAAGAAAAAGAAAATCCACCTGAAGTTGAACTTTCTAGGATCGAAACATGTAGTGGTTTAATTAATGAATGGATACAGCCTAATAAAGAGTCATGTGGAAGAATTTTGAGTGTTATTCTCCCAAACTGTTAGTTGGGTTGAAACAAGTACGAAGGTTTCTGCAGGACTACAATTCTCAACATTATCAACACTTTTTGAATAAGAAGTGGCTTTATTTTCTAATCATTTGCATCAGCCATATTTTATAAGCTCAACAGAAGAAATACCTCTCGTCAAGGTCAAAATGAAACATTTTTCAACCTGATGATAAAGTTTCAGGATTCACTTTGGAAATGCCTTTGTGAGGGTGACAGCATCGAGATGTTTGCCAACATTAGCGAGCGTCTCCAAAAAAAATTATTATAAATTTGAATAAATTAATCCTCAAGTTTAGGCTAACCCCATTAATCTTGACAGCAGTTTTAAGAGTCACTATCATACCTAACTCCTTCCCAGCATGAACGGATCTGAAATCCATTTGCAGTTAATCAGTGAAAAGATAAGCCAACTTTATATAAAGTCCCAGGGACGCATCATATTAATTGTCTGTAATATATTACTTAAAATTGAGTTTGAATATCTGCCTCTTGGATTCATATCTGAAATAAATATGTGAAATTTTGAAAACTAGCCATCGATATATTAATACCTTGTAAGACAACACATGTGTTGCTGAACTTTTTGATGCGTGTGAAAACGTGAAAAAGAAACCATTTGTGAGAAAACTGACAACTGTAACGTTGGTAAACGTGTACCAAACAACATAGCGCTACAACTCATTCGACAGACATCTGCTGAGATATTAAGGCATCTATGAGATATTAATTATTAATTTTACAGGCCTTTGAGCATTACTGAAGATCTTTTCTCTTTTTTCTGAAAATTGTTGTAGGCAACCTTCTCTATCGATGTGAGATCTGAGGTTCCACGGCGGTAAAGATGGTGTTCACCTTTTAGGTTAAGCCGTCGCGTATATTCGTCGTTCGACGAGTATACACAGTGCCAAAACCCAGTTTTAGAAATTAATAGTAACAAGAAGAGACATTTTTCGGAGAATTTCGCCCATTGAACCGGGAATTTCATCGCCAACCACAGAGATGCCTGGAATTATCAGTGCAAAGTTCTACGAATTCTGATAAATCTTGAGTAGTTTCAGCGACTATTACGTTTGGAAAAAGGAGTACTGTCCATGGGCTATAAGTAACAGAAATTGAACTTAAACATTGCTTAATAGTCTAGAATCTGTGTAATAACAGGATTTTGAATAGGGAAACATGTTAATTATGGATTATAATAAACAACAATTACGATCCAGAATTTCTAACACGATTACTAACGTGTGCACAGCACAATAATCGATAGAAAATTATGTTCTGTTACTCAGTACTTAAAAGTTGGGAACTGTATGCATTGAGTATAAATTCTGGTGGGTTCAATATGTTGTTTCCTCCACGTTTTCAGTTCGTGACTGTTCAATTCTCTTATAAATAGCTTAAAACAGATGGAGCGGTCGAACGATGACCTCCAATGTAAAAATCGGATCACAATATATATATAAAATGTGCGTTTCTCGAAACTTTTCTGCTCCAATAATTACGGGGATCTTCATGTAAAATGTTCGTTACTTTCGTCCGATTTTAATAAAAACTGGAATTTATCGACTAATTTAAGTGAAAGTCCCCACAACAACATTTCACTTAAGGCGAACTGCGGGTCTCGATGTGTTGCGTGCACTACAGGCAGACACATATGGCGAAGCTGACAGGTGCATTGTTTAAAACTTCGTTGCCAACAAACAAACGTCGTATTGACGAATCTGAGCTTGCGTCTCTCCCCCTACGCTGCAGACATCGTTTCTTTCTACAACATCTCAGACCGAACGACACGATAATTATGTCCTGGAATGCGCTGCGAGTGGAGCGCTCAACGGTTCTTTCAAGAAGCTCTATTAATCCAGCATTCACCTCGAGCGATGAGAAATGTCAGTCTGGCGAGCCTACATGATTACATGTGTATGGCTTTGCCGATATTCTGAGAATCTAATCATGAGCTCACAGATTAAGTAATGTTATTTTGGTATGCACAGTACACTCTTTGATCCAACATTTTGCTTTTAATGTGTTGTTGTTATTATTATTAAAACATGCTTCTATAAGGCTATATTAATGTAAAAACAGAAGGTAATCTTCAAACAATGGTTAATAAGATAAAACTCTTGATTTATGTGTCACTTCGATATTCTGAACTGTTTCTCAAGCTAAACAACAAAGAAACAAGACTTCAAAAGTATGCATTGTACAGGCTGACAAAGAAAGATTTCCAGGGATGCTTCCAGGCTTGGCAGCGGCGCTGGAATCGTTGTGTTCACTCCCAGGGGAACTACTTCGAGGGTGATGGATGAATTTAATACCTGAGATAAGTGTACGGGTTTTTATACGCGCAGTCTGGAAACTTTCCGATCGCACCTCGTATCCAAAGGTTTGTTGTGATTTTATGCTGAAATGCATTTATTTTCGCGTAGAATGGCCTACTAAAAGAACAAAACCCACATCAACAAAATCTCATAATCTTATACAAACAGGTTGTTATAACTGTCCAATCTAAATACAAATTTAAATGTTTCGACAATTTTTAGTAAAATTCTTTAGGCCTACCACCAAATATAATCAAAATCAGTCTCTCTTTTCGTCCTCGAAATCTTTCAGTTCACCCTACAAACAGATGGAGCGGTTTAAATTAGCCCTCTGCTGGTTTTCGATCGCGCCAAAGATAAGAAATTCACAGTCCAGCACATCGGAACACTCGGGTTAATTACACGTTTAGTGGCATTATGGGAAGTTAATTTAAGCAAACCGCCATGTTAATTTTTCTAATACTACAAGCTACGTTGCAGGCATGTATAGCAACCTAACAACCCGGTTGTCCTGGATACCATTGTTGTCAAGTCTTCGCTAGCTCGGACAGGTGTGGGAGGGAGGGGAAGTGCACACTTCGTTCAAACAGCGTGCGCTTACCTGACTGAAGACGAACGTTGGATGTCCGGTGGAGACTGCCAAGTCCGGCTGTCAGGTGAACGCACGCACTACGAGGTCACATCCTGGGTTAGTTTTGGACGGCTAGATTACACTAGGATCGCTGCATTTAGGAACGGGGCTATGTTTCTGGTAATACGTCCCGAATATTTAACGCAAATAACAACAAAGATCCATGGAACAGAGTCCTTAAGAAACCGACAATGCGTTCAGAGAGTTAAGATGGCCACTTCAATCCTGTTAACCTTCCCATAACCTATTTCCACTGAAATACGACAAAGCTGGAAAACATGCGTAATGTCTGGCTAACCTACGTCACGAATGGCTTTTGGGGTTAGGTCACGTCGAATGTTCACAGTTGCAAACGTTTCGCAAACATTGCAGTTGCCACGGTTAACTGCGATAACGTTATTACAATGTTTCCGAAACGTCGGACAAATATCTTCATTCGACTTGGCCTAACCCCGAAATACCAAAGTTAGGCCAGCCACGAAAACTTCAGGAAAAGTAACCAAGGTTAAGACCACGAAGAGTTTCCGAATGACGCGCGTATGGCTGTTCATCTGTCAGATTCTATGTAACTGATGCGCTTTTGTTAAGTTTGACATCTACCGACACTGAAAAATAATTCTGAAATTATTCCTTTTTTTAGCCTACAAAATGGCGACAATTACTGACTTCTAGACTAGCATTCGCTACTGATCTGTAACAATAATAAATATTTCAGTTATTAATGCTCACATTAAAAGCATTTTCTAATTATGTGGGCTAATTCTGACAATCTTTGAAATAAAATATTAGTTGCAAAACGGGTTTCGGTGTAGTGGTAGTACTGATGCTTCGTATTTGATCGGTTATATAGAGTCCCGTTTGTTGGGTACTTAAAGTAGCTTATTATTATGCTAGCATTTGAATAATTATGCTAATATTTTATGAAAATCGTTTCGCTTTATGTTCTGTTTATAAGAAAAAGGCTGATAAATAAACGAGAATGGATATACTGTACCACTACGTCGCTAATCAAGCGTTCATTTCAAATAAATAATATATACATACCGGAGATAATATTATAACAATTCTGTGTAACCTTGATTTAGTAGTCTCTAAACGGAAGTATAATATTAAATAATTTAATCATCAGAATAATGGTAAGAAACATTTTAATTCAGCATTAATATTTGTCGTTCTTTCGTGGGACCGTCCTATGAGATTTATCATGTAAAAATTGCAAAGCCGTGAAATTCTAGCGAAAATATTTATTTTATTTTATTGTGTATATAATACAAAAAGACCCTCCGACTTAACCCTTTAGAAATGCCATCGCATCGTAATAAAATATTGTACCGCACAACACCATTTTTATCTCATTTAATTATATAGTTGTTTCAGTGAGCACTTAATGACATGAAATTTTACTTATGCCTTTAGGTAAAATAACGGCCCTGATAGATATTCTATTGGATTTCTTGATATAAAATTTCGTCAAAGTAAGTTCAACTATACCTCCAAACGAGGCGTTTGACATTTCCGATTCCGTTTAAAACAACTAATTCCGT